CAATCTTCATAAAATTGTTTTTATTAGGATTGCTTAGATTGTTCTAAATTTCAAGTATGTGTAGTCTACCATTCCTACCTAGGATTGAATGACATGCAATTGGAAAAGGAAACTAGATTGGATTAGGTCTATTGGGGTAGATTTATTCTTTAAGTGTGGAGGATTTTTAACTTTAAAAAAAAAATTGAATTTGAGTTAAGTGTGGAGGATATTTAACTTTAAAAAAAAATTGAATTTGAGTTTACTCTGAAGGGTTCTCTTTTTGTTTTTTCTTTTTATAATACATATTACAACAACAGAAAATAATAAATAAATAAATTACATCAAATATTTAGTTCATTGGTTAGTGCATTATTTCCTTACCTAAAAAGTAAGGTTAGAATCTCCCTCTTCCAATTATAAAAAAAAATAAAAAATTAAAAAGGCAATAAGGTGATAGCTTGATAGACTATCCACCTTAACACTCACAATATATGATAAATACTTGGTAGTCATATTAATTATATGACTTATACTTTTATATAATATGAGTTAAATGATGGATTTATATATGTTTGTGTGTACGCACGTGTAGGTGTATGTATCACACTAGATGATTAATTAATGTTCATCCAATAAAAAAAACATTCTAATTAAAAAGGATATTCAAATATTAAAAATACTTCTCACACTAAAAAAATTGAACATTTTAAAAAATAACCCTTAAAAATAATATATTTTTAAAAATAGACTCTTTTATAATTTTAATTATTTTTAACCAAGTTGGACAAAATTACGCTTAATGAAATTACACGTTATGATGTTACACGTCATAGTTAGGCTATTACACGTCATGTACAAAAATATGTGACATGTCATGATTAGGTTGTTCCACACTATGGTTAAGTTGTTACACGCCATGTACAAAAACATATTACACGTCATGGTTAGGTTGTTACATGTCATGTTAAAAAAAATACTATTGTTACACGCTATGTACAAAAATTACACGTCATGGTTAAAAAATGTTGTTACACGCCATGTTGAAAAAAAATATTGTTATTACACGCTATGTTGAAAAAATATTATTGTTACACGCCATATTCAAAAATATTTTATTACACTTTAATGCCTAAACTGTTGTTGTTACTTATAAACTAAAACTTCAAATCCTCTCAACTCTTTTTATTTATTTTTTGTTTTTTTTGACAATTTGACATCGATTAAAGTGTTCTAATATGTTTTTATAAATCAAAACACAAATTTTCCTATTTAAAACACCTATGTTGACTAAAAATTAAAAAAAAATCATTGAAAACCTAAGTTTGTAAATTTTAAAAATTTGAGATTATTGATGTCTAGATCTCGAATTGATCCAATTAAAAGCTACTTCAAACATTTGTGATCATTTCTACTGTGTAGTTTTATTCAAAAAACCTAAAATCAAATTCTCCAAATAGCCATCCATTCAAGTACATCAAAACCATCGTTTGGTGTCTTCAAAGAGTTGGAAAGAGAAATCTGAAAGCGCAAGAGAGAAAAATTGGAACCATAGTAGACGAATGCCGAAGAGAGAAATCGATAAAATTAAAGAGAGTAGGATGTTGAGAGAGAGTAATTGGAAGCACAAATGGGGAGAAATTGTGATGAATAGTTTAATTTATTTGAAAAAGTTTCAAGGGTGTTTTTGTTAAGTCATGACTAAATATGGCTAAATATAGTTAAATTTATTTTGATGGTTATTTTTAAAATACCCTTATCAAGAAAGGTTATTCCTTACAATTTTCTCAAAAAAATTCTAGTTTCCCCAACAGAGTGTCACTTATATCTCATTAATTTTAAAGTTTTTTATATTTTATTTTTAACCAACAATAATAATAATGAGTCAAAATTGATTAAGTAAAAGTCTTTTTCAAAAAAAAAAAAACTATATAAAAGCAACTATTTGATTGAAGATGAGGTATATTTTTAATTAAGTCCAAGAGGATTATACATGTCACGAGTTGGAACTTAAGCACAACCTCATGGGATCTTAAATTTTGAAAATAAAGCTTAAGTAAACCTATAAATCACAGACCTACGTTCCCAACCCAAAATACATACCTGATAGATGGTGCAAGATCTATCTTTATTAATCTAAGACTTGTTCCATCTCTTATTAATGTGAGATCTGATAACATTCTACTTCACCCAATTTTGCAAGCAACACCATCATTGCATCGGCTTTTTACCTGTAGAGGAAAGGGACTTTATAATAGTTCGAGTCTACCTCAACCTTTATTGCTCTTATGGGGCCCCACGTCAATTAAAATTTAAGTCTATTCTAATACTAAATATTATTGATTGAAACTTAAATCCAACCTCGTATAGCCTTAAACTTTGAAAATAGAGTTTAAGTAAGCATATAAATCATAGGTCCACATACCTAACCCAAAAAACATGCTTGAGAAGTGGAAGAAGACCTATGTTTATATACTTAAGACTTACTCCATCTATTATTGATGTGGGATTCATAATATTCTACCACCCCAATTGTGCAACACTCCCTTGCTCTTTACTCATAGAGGATAAAGACTTTTATAGTAGTTTGGGCCTATCTCCATCCTTGTATCTCCTATGGGTCCTTGCATCAGTTAAGATCTAGGCCTATTTTGATACCAAATGTCATGGGCCGAAACTTAAGCCCAGCTGAGTACGACCTTAAACTATGAAAGTAGAGTTTATATAAGCCTATAAATAGCAAACCCACATTCATTACTTAAAAGATATACTTGATAGGTGGTGGAAGATTCATGTTTATACTCTTAAGACTTACCTCATCTCTTACTAATGTGGGATTCATATATTCGTTTGGGAGAAGATACCTCACAAGGATTAGTGTGGACTATGATAGTTAATATTAGAGCAGACTATGAGGTACTAGTGATGTGCCACTAAAGATAGTGGGCCCTTGTTGAAGTGGAAGAAAATGTCACAATCTTAGCATGGACCATGCGAATCCCACATCATAGAGATATGCTCCCAACGGGTAGAGCCATTAGTCTTATATCGAAGAGAAGCTTCTAGCGGGGAGTCAAGAGAAGATGTCATGGTCCTAGAAGGAAACTATGAATCTCCCATCGGTTATGTACTAAAGTGATACTGGGCATATAAGGGTTTATACAACTTTTAACTTGTGAGGCACCCTTTGTGGGACAAAACTATGAAGCCTACAAGTTAAAGTGGATATACCTCACAGGGGTTAGTGTGGACCGCAATATTTGGTATCGCTCCCATGAGAGATACAAGGGTCTACGTAAACTTGGCCCAACGTAAGAATCCCTCTCTTTTATGGGTAAAGAGCCAGTACAATTAAGACGTTGTACAATTGGATAAGGTAGAATGTCATGGATTCTACATTAGTAAGAGATAGGGCGAGTTTTGGGTATATAAACATAAGTTTTTCATCACCTATCAAGCATGTTTTTTGAGTTGAAAACGTGAGTTCATGATTTATAGGTTTATTTAAGTTCTATTTTTAAATTTTAAAACCACACAGAGTTGGGTTTAAGTTTCGACTCATAACAATACATACTTCGCTACAAACATAACCTTTAAAATGTCATTTGATTACTTAATTTTTTATCAAAGTAAAAAATCTAACTTTCTTCTCTATAAAAAGACGGATTTTAGAATAAAAATTATCTTTTTACCAAGATAGAATTACTAAGAAAAAGTTTACAACTTAAATTTTCTGTTAGTCTAAAAAATTAATGCAAAAAATATATATATAGAGTTAATTTTTCTTTCGAAAACTGAAAGTTTTATTATTAATTTAGGTAGATTATTACTAATTGAACGAAAGGATTTACTGAATATAATAAAATTAACTTTCATCTTAAGAAGTATATTTTTTGGTCTATTATTATATAGAAATTGTACGAATAATTTAAAAGAGTTAATTGTTAGATGTTTAAATTTTGTTAAAATGTCTGGAAATCAACTAGAGATAATACTTTGTTTACTTTACTCTTTTTTTTATTTTAATTATATTGAAATTGAGAACCCTAGTAATTTTTTTTAATTAGAAAAAAGAGATTCAAACTTTACTCTTTAAATAAGAGGATCATGTATTGACCAATGAGTCAAATGCTCAAGTGCAAGAATATTAATAATTTGTTTTTCTTTTTCTTTTCCAATAATAACTACATATCCCATTTTATTAATATTTTTTAAAATATTTTATTATTTATTATAAAATAAATTACACTTATAACACATTATGGATTTTTTATTCATGTTTATTGTTTGTAATTCTATGTTTTTCTTAGAATATGTCACGTCATTAATTTCATCCAAAATAATAAAAACTGAAAAAATTATTCTTATTGTAAGAGATTTTTATAAGTCATATGTTAAAGTTGTATAATTAGTGACTTTTTAAAAGGTCAAGATTTTTGTACTTATTGGGTAATTTGTTGATACTTATAGGATAATATTTTTCCACTATCATTGTTCTTAAATATCTAATTATTAAGTCAAAATGTTTAATGGTAAGTGCACCTAACTTCCTACTTAAAGAGTTGAACTCAAATCTTCCTTCAAATAAAAAAAAAACTAATTAAATTACAATGAGTTTCATTTTTTATTTTTAATTACTTCATAACCTTTTTAGAATGTGCTTATAAATTAATATTAAGTAATTAGTGGTTAGAAAATAAAGTTTCATACTGTATATGCTTTTAATAATTAATTGTGACATATCTTAATGAATATTAAAAATTAACTTATACCATTTTCTAAATTTGTAACCTAAGTCAACAGTTATTGGTTGATGAAAGGATTTATGTCAAAATTCATGTAACACTTTTACTTTTATGATCTCACGATTTATTTATGAAATATTAATTGGTTATTATATACTATTTTCTAGGAAGGATAATTCATTTTAAATACAAAATTAATTTAATATTAGTATTTTTCATGAAAATACATTTTTATATACTTTAATATTAATAAACGAGAGAGAGATTGATGATGAAATCATGATACATATATATATATATATATAAATATATATAAATATATAAATGCATGGTTTTTATCATTATAATTATTATATATATTTACATGTTAAAGCAGCAAACATTAGAACAGAAACTAAGCACGTACGTCGTCTTCAATTTGACATATGCTATTGAGTGTACCAGAAGCGTAGGCAAAACCAACTCAACAGCGAAAGGGCAAACGGAAGAACAATGAAGGGAAAAACGACGTAGGCATTTGTGCTGCTTGGTACGACTTTTTCTTCCTCATTTCTTTGGGGTTGTTGCAATCCAGAGCTGGGTGGAGGTGTAGCATTTTCATCTAAAGAGCTGAAAAACTTTGCTAATCTTTCTGACACAGTTTGCTGGCTCTCGTCCAGTGATTCTTCATCTCCTTCGTAGTCATCATCATTTTCGAAGACTAAATAAATCCCAGCCTTCTTCAGCTCTACGCCCTCAACATATGGCTTGTTTCGCCTTGTCACCTGAATCTTAAAACCATCGTTCAACATAAAAACCAGCTGATGAGTCGCTGGATATCGGCACAAGTGAACATGATCTTCGTTCGTATTGGGTACTCCCGTTAAGGACAAGGCGCTCCCATATATTTCTTTGTCACCATTGAAGATCTTTGCTAGAATGTCCACTACAGAAGGTAGTTCATATCTCTTTTTATCTGGTATCTGATGGTTAAGGGAAACAACTACCGCTATTATCACACCTTTGAGGTCACGGTTCTTGTGGCTTGAAAAGCTGACTATATCTTGAGAAAACCAATCTGGAATTTTACTTCCAGGCATACTTAGATTTCTCAACTTCTTGAGATAAACCTGCAACAAAAAGTTGCCATGCATCATAGTGTGTATATCTATGAATTTGTGAATATACATGTAACACAAGTATCTGCTATGAAAGAGAGAGAGAGAGAGAGAGAGTGAGATAGAAAACCAACCTTGGAGAGTCTTTTCTTTGCTGCTGAAGAGCATTTAATGCAGTTACCCATGTACAACTTTCTCAAGGACTTCAAGGACTCGAGGCCTGGAATATCCACCAATTTCTCACAGTTTGTAAGGTTTAATTCTTCTAAGCTCTTTAAATTGGAAAGATCAGATATACTTTCCAATGAAATACAGTTTGCAAGATTCAACTCCTCCAAACTTGAGGGAAGTGGAGGGAGGGACTCGAGCTTTTCACATTGCGACAGCTGAAGCTTTTTGAGAAGCGAGAGGCCCCTTAGGCTGGATGGAAGTTTAGAAAAATCATTTTGACCCAGATTCAGGAACTCTAATGCCGTCAACTTCTCAAAATCATCTGGAATTTCACCAGATATTCTCCATGCACGAGCATCAAGATCTTCTAGCGACGAGAGATTCGAGAAAGATGTTGGCAAGAGTGTAAATGACTCGGGTTGCTTTTGTGTACTGAGTTCCTTTGCCATTTTCAGTACCATTAAACATGAGAGCATGCCAAAACTTTCCGGCAATTTGGTCACGGCAGTTTCTTTCATATATAAATGGTGCAAAGACTTCAAATTTCCTATTGAGGATGGAAGTTTACGGAGCCGTCTACACTGATTCAATCTCAACGAAATAAGATTTTCTAACATCCCAAAAGACTCTGGCAACTCGGTAATGCTGGCGTTGAATATGTTCAGATTAGTAAGCGCAAGCAAGCTGCCAATCGACTCTGGCAGAGATTCAAGAGAAGTACAATTCCGCATCTGAAGCTGCTCAAGTGATCTCAAGTCACCAATCTGACTAGGGAGACCCGTAATTGATGTCCCATCTATCTCAAGTTTCACAAGAGAAGCCAATCCCCGAATCGAATCTGGCAATTTGTTCAACTGGCTGCCTCCAACAAATAACAACTTCAGATATGATAACGAGCCAATAGACTTTGGTAACTCAGTGATTGCTCTACCCTTAATTAACAACTTTTTCAATAATTTGAGATCGCCAACAGTATCAGGAATTGCAGTGAATGATTCACAAGATATCGAACTAAGTTGTTCAAGGTTCTCCAAGGATCCAATAGAATCAGGCAATTTTTCTAATGCAGAATGATTAAGACGAAGTTCCTTCAGAGAAATAAGCTTCCCTACACATCTTGGCAGCTGTTTAAGATGTTGGCAATCATCTAGGATCAGTTTTTCAAGTTTTTCAAGGCGGTAAATAGATTCAGGCAGCTTCTCTATGCCAGTTTTATCAGCATAAAGTTCTTTGAGTGATACCATGCTGCCTATGCCCTCTGGCAATTCCTTCAATTTATAGCAACGACTGAGAACAAGGGTTTGCAGATTTTTCATCCCCGAAACATCACTCGGGAATTCAACAAGGTTTATACAGCCTGTCACGTCCAAGTGATGTAAGGACTTTAAACTACCAACTGATTTGTGAATGTTTATCAGACTCACACAATTCTCAAGAACAATCTTTTGCAGATTTTCGTGTCCAGATAAATCAGGAAGAGAGGCCAGCTTGGGGCAACTACGCAAATTCATAACCATCAACTTCTTAGCCAACTGCAACAAACAAAAATCCAATAACAGAAAAACCCAATTAATAATAAATTGCCATAAATTAGTTAGAACTAGCAGAAGAAACCGGCATATGTGAATTAAAGTGAAAGAAAACAGGTAGTGTGCAGAATGAAGCTTCCTTAGATTTCCTTTCAGTCATACTCTCATAGTTAAAATTGATTTTATCCGTGATAATCAGCTGAACATCATGGTAATTAGCTGGTTGTGCAGATGACAAGCATATATCCTTACCTTGTTAGAGTAAGAACTCCACACCCGTTCGATTTTGCTTTCTGAGAGATCCAGGACAGCAAGCTTTTGGGGACAAAAATCAGAAGGAAGAGTTTTCAAAGCACATCCTTGCCATTGAAGCCACTTCAGCTCATGGGGAAGAAGATAAAAATTTCCTTCCAGTTTCACATGATTGATTTGAAGCAATCTTAGGTTAACCATCGATTCAAAGGATTTTGTGTAGATTACCACCTCTTTCCCATTGTCGGGTTTCTTTACAAACTTCCTTTTGTCCATGACAATACCCTCAATGCTTCTTGTTCCCTGTATATGGTCAGTTATGTGGAAAATTTAATAACAAGTGGAAATAATGCCAACCAGGAGGATTAAAAATAGCCATCACTATACATAGTATCATCTAGGAACTAAGGTTAAATTTTGTCATTATATTTCCCTTTTATTGAATTTTATCATTATACTTTTAATTTAGTTAAGAAACACAAATTAATGATAATTTATCACTTGCATTAACAAAACATTCAATTACTTTTTGTTTAAAAATCAACGAAATTAATATATATATATTTATAAAAAAATTTTAATAAAATTTAATACTTGGCAGTTAGATCTACATTGAAGCTTTTGTTAATAGCTCTAAATGGTAAGGTAACTGAAATATAGCTAAGGATTAGATTAATATATCCTCCAGGATTGCACCTCTGTAACTAAGACCAAATTATAGTCATTGCCTTACTGCTCCACTGTTACACAACAAAGAGGAAGATGGGAATTCATGAATGAACTATAATTAACTAAGGGATAATTGTTTATGAAGTTGGTGGAGGTCAGCAATACTCCTCCAGCATATATGTACCACTCACCACCAAGCCCCTTCACAGAGAGGATTCTTTTTATAGAAAAATAAATGCATTTTGGCGTCCTGGCTTTAGAAAGAAAAAAATGGGGACACAAGAAATAAGTAGGTTATGTTAGCATCTTTCTTAGATGGGCTTCTATAAGATATAGGACCGCTACCTAAAGAATTTTCCTCTGGTGGATTTCCAAAAAAATTAGATGGAGAAGGGCGTTGTTGAATCCCAGACCTTGATGAAATTTGACTAAGCTATTCTTTTTTGGGCAGAGAAGCAGACCAAGTGCTTATGTTGGAAACCAAAGAAATTTTGACTTCAAACTGGACGCTAGTCATGTAGCCACTAATGCATGCATAAGAAAAGAAGTCCAAATATAAGAGGAGGCAAAGCACTCTGATCCATGTATATACCTTGTGATTTTCCAAGACAGTCATGATTTGATTGCGTTCCCATAGTCTGCTGCGCATTCCAAGATCTCCAGGGTTCTCATCTTGAACAATTTGTCTTCCCATGTCCCTGAGTTGATCATGCATCCGCAAAGAGTCATCCCCAGTGAACTTAATCAGAGATTTTTCTTCAAGAACTCTTATTGCTATTTCAGCTTTAAAATCACATCCTTTAAATACGTCAATCAGATCCTCTCTCTTCATTTCCATGTTGACAAACAAGCATGCTATATCAAGGAATATGCATTTGTTTTCCCTGTCTAGCCCATCAAAGCTTATCTTTAACACATCCTGAAGCTCGTGAGGACGAATGTCTCCCAGCTTCTTCAAAGCATCTTCCCATTCTGTTACCTTCCTTTTATCAAACAAAAATGAACCAAAGACTTCCAGAGCCAAAGGTAGATTCCCGGTGAGAGATACAATTTTCTTGGACAATTCCCCAAAATCCTCCGTCGGTTTCTTTCTTCCAAATGCATGATAACTGAAAAGATGCAGTGCCTGGTCCAAATGCAACTCCCTGACTTCATAAAACCGATTCACATGATCTTCACGTAGAACTCCTGTGTTTCGAGTTGTAACAATAATTCGACTTTTTCCATCATTTTGCCAGTTGAACGTTCCAGCACCTAGTGCATGAAGTTGGTCTTCTTGGTCAACATCATCCAGGACAAGTAGAACGTTGTTGTCGTGAACAATCCTTGTGATTGTCGAGGCATTAGCATTAACGTCATTCAAGGAAAGCATAGCACCCGGGGAAAGGTCGCCAATAAGTTTTTTCTGAAGGGATACTAAACCATCTTCTTGTTTTGAAAGTTCTCTAACATCTGAGATGAAGCTGCGGAAGCGGAAGTGTGGGAGGATCTTGTTGTAGACGGCCTTGGCAAGGGTTGTCTTGCCAATCCCACCCATGCCATGAAGCACCACAACCTTAATGCCATTGGACTTAACGTCTAACAAATTTATTAAGTCTGTCACGCGCCTATCCAGTCCAACGGCATAGCTGGCCACTTTCTTTGGTGTATTGTTCAATTCTTTCAGAATGTCTCTCAGCAGAACCCGAATCAAATCCTTTTCGTCACTGCAAATAAATGCGATTGCACCATATTAGTGGGAAGAACAAAATAACCAGATCAAACCCCGCCTCTTAAACAATTCTCTCACGTCTTACCTATTAATACCATATTCAAGCCATAGTTAGTGATGAATATTTGTTTCATTAGATTAATTGTTAATATTTTTGATAATTAATGAAACCAAGGGCTCAATACCCTAAGTAACGCCCATGTGCAATAACCAATTACAACTTACTTATAAATGATAAAACAAATTATACGACTTTTGCCCCACTTAATAATCAACCATAAATTCATCTATACTTTTCTTTTTTGGAAGAATAAATTCATCTATACTGTAATAAGTAAAAAATTTGAAACTATACAAGAACATGAATGATAAAAAGCCCAACAAGAGAGGGAGGGCGGTTGTTTATATGTACATTCAAAAACATTAAAAATTAAGCATCTTCTTCATTTCACTTTTTATTTTGCTTAAATATATATGATAATCAATCGAAAATGAAGAGTGCGAAATAAAATCCATTTATCTCTTGATAATTAGTACAATAAAAATCACCCATTTGATCGCTTAAATTTTTGAGGTTTTTTTTTCGGTTTAATCACTCAATTTTGAAATATAAAATGTTTTGTGGTTTATTTTTTATCAACCAATCCTTAAATTTTGATTGATTTATATTATGACAGTTTGCATCATCATTTTGTATTAAGTGGCCGCTTCATCATTTTTTGTCTAGTCATTGGAATGATGATATATATGAATTTGGCACTTGACACAAAATGATAACGCGAAATGTTAGAGGTTGAAGTTGTTAAATTTTAATGACTAAGTATGCACGACTTATGTAAAGTTGAAGGACAAAATGTTATTTTTCAAAATTAGAAAATTAAAACAACAAATTTTGAAAATTTAAGCAAATAAATAAGTAATTTACTCTCTAAAGATGTTTATATTAAGTTATATAATAAGTGGAGTTTAAAAATTCCTTGAAAGAATAAAATAATAGAAATTGCATTGAAATTTTTGGGTTTTAGATATTAAAAGATGAAGATTCAATTTGACTTTTGAATTTGTTTTCTTCATAATCTTTAGAAAGCAAAATTAAGGATGATAAGAGGATAGAATAAAACGTTTTCTTTCTCTTATGCTAATAATTAATAAAAGGAAATGTATTAAATGAAGTGGGATTTGATGAATTTAGAATTCCTGCAGCCCCTGGCAACGGTATTAAAATTGACAGCACAGATATAAAAATGCAAATAGAAATGGAAGAAGCAGTCACGTTCAAGTGTATTAAAGTAGTTTCGAGAGGTACCAAGTAGGATTAATAAACAAACTCCATCTGCCATTTAAAGAAGATGTACCTGCCTCTGCCTGAATCATTCAATGTTTCAACTCTAACTTCTATGCATCCGTACCGTAGCAATAATCTAAAACATTTCCTTTGTCACCACTATTCACACTCTTACTTTACCAATTGCTTAATTCTCCCATCAATCTATCTCATGGAAACATCAACTGTTAATTCAGCAGGCTTACCCCGTATAGTGTTGTAATAAATTATTTGGAAAATATTTGCATTCAACCCTTGTCCTCAAGCACCCATAGTATTAATTACTAGCAATAGATTAATTAATTGTGAACAGAAAATTAACGAGATCTGATCAGATAAGGAAGGCATAACCTGTTGTCATTGAAAACCGAACCAGTAATACCTCCAACTGTCTCCATGGCTTTCCTCCATTTCATCACCTTGTCGATTTCAAACCTGTTTTCGAGGCTCCGAAAAGCCTCCTCGAAAGGCCCTTTCTGTTTTCGAACATGAGATGGGTCAACCCTATAGAACACGGGCAGAATCAGCCTCCGCAACTCGCATATCCTGGCGAGTTCTTCAAGGCACCAATGGGAGGAGGCGTAGTTTTGAGAGAGAATCACAATTGAAGCAGCCGAGTCTTCAATGGCTTCGAGCAGACGCGGGGAGATCTCGTCTCCATGGTTCAAACATTCGTCGTCTCGAAAGACTCGGATACCTCTCCCGTTAAGCAAGCTGTAGAGATCCTGCGTGATACCGTGGCGAGAATCTTCGCCTCTGAAACTGAGGAATACGTCCCATCGGAGCCTAAAAGCGGCTGGAGTAGTTGTTGAAATAGCGCCGTCCTTCACCATTTCTATGGGTTGTTGTTTCTCAAAGCTTAGCCAGGAATGAAATTGCGCATTCCCTAGATAATAATTACACAAGGGAACATCAATTTTAGTCAGTACAGTCGCATGTTTAGAAAGGACAGGAAAAGTAGTAGCAAAATACGTATTTTTGCTTCTTTTTCTCTATGTGGTGTGCGCATGCCAAAAGAATTCTTGCTCCTCGAGAATCCGTACAGTGAATACTAACAACCCTCCCCTAGGGCTGTTTTGTCATTCTGGACCAGGAGAGCGCAAGAGGTAAGGCGTAAGCAAGAAAGGGCTCTGATGCTGCCACGTTTTGAGACGTAGCGTCCTGAGTTGCGCATTGCACTAATTTCTGGGTGGCTTAATGTTCTCGCTTGCGTGATGCTTTAAAAGCAAAATGGTATTTATGCAGGAGCATGTTCCAAGTTAAAAAGCAGGGAAAAGAACATTGCAGAAATAAAAAGAAAGAATTGTGAGTAATAATTTTTATAATAAAATTACTTTAAAAATAATTTTTATTATAATTTTAATTAT